CCCCCCCCCCCCCCCCGCCCCTTCCCGGCTGTGTGAACTTGGGCAAGTCAGCGAAATTCAGGGCCTCGGTGTCTTCTGGAATATGGGGAGAAGAAGGGAATCTATTTCCCCAGATCGTCACGGGCACTGAGTTGTCAGATGTAAAATAGCTAGAACAGTCCTGGCATATAATAAATGTCTAACTGCTAAGATTAAATGTAGTTGTTAGGATTAGTATCCCCGGGGCTGGAACTGGCTCAGTGGTAGAGTATCTGCCTAGAATCCACAAGGCCCTGAGTTCAATCCCCAACCACCTGAATTAGAAAATGAAACTGGAGCCAGGCATGGTGGCACACACCTTTAATTCCAGTTCTTGGGAGGCAGAGGCCAGCCTGGTTTACAAAGCAAGTTCCAGTACAGCCAGGACTGTTACACAGAGAAACGCTGTCTCGAAAATCCAAAATACTACTACTACTACTTTACTACTACTACTAGCAAAAAGCGATATATTGGGGGTCCTGGGGGTCCTTGGCATTGAGTTTTTGTGGGGAACGTGATAGATTTGTCATCTGGTGTCCACACACGGTCAGAGTTTGTTTGTTTAACAAATGTCGTGTGTCTCAGGCCTTGAAGATCTGGAAAGCAGTTTAGAGCTCAGCTGGCAGGACTTAAACAGGGTCAGGAGTGCCCAGGAAGTGGAACCAGGACAGGGTTCAGGATGGAGGGTGACCTGAGAAGACTGGCTGGAACAGGAGGTGTTGGTGCCCAGTCAGACTGCAGTGGGCACGAACAGTGGGAAGGGCATCGGGGGTGTACAGGTCAGACGTGGGCATCTCTGGGCAGCTGTGAGTGAGGCACATGACAGCGGAGGGAGCCTTGAGGGTCAAGCTGAGAGGGGCTGGGCTTGGATCTTGGGGCATCTACTGAGGAGCTGGCTGGAACACAGGAGCCCTTGTTGTAACTGTCTCTTCTGGGCACTGTGTTTTTCCTGGACCTGGCTTGTGGTCAGGCCAAGGGCTGGGCTAACCCAGGCTCTCCTCTCCTTGCAGGGGAATATATAACTTCTTCTCCACATTCATCACTTCCGGGATGCGGTTCCTCCTCAACCAGCAGGTGCGGGCGGTGGCAGACCTGGTTACCAAAGTAGGGGTGGCCTGGTGCTGAGAAGCCCTGACTCTGGTCCTGTCCCCCCAGATCTGCCCTGTGCTCCACCACGCTGGGACAGTGCTGCTCAACTCTCTCCTGGACACGGTGCCCGGTGAGTCAGTGCTGGTGGGGCTGAGAGACCTGACCCAGGACTGGGGCTGGGGGTGGAAGGAAGCTGTATGCTGTTGTCAGAACAGACCCCTTCCAAGTCCAGCCATAGAACAGTCCTGGGTTCAAATGTGTCGTTGACCTGCTGTCTAACCTTAGGTAAGAAAACCCGTCTGGGTTTCGGGTTCCTCATTTGTCTGGTAACGCCTCCCCAGGAGCTGTCAAGGTCTTTAGTGTGTGCTTGCTGATCTTGGGGGCCCCCTTTGTCTCCATCATCACCTTGCTTTTCATGGGTGCTCAATTAACATAAGTCCCTTCTTCCTAAGCCACTATGTCTGTCTACCATGGAGCAGCGATTCTGTCCCATCAGACCTGTTGGTGAAGGGCATTGTAAAGGAATGCAGGGGAAGTGACCCCTTTGCCATCTTAAGCATTTTAAAACGTGCTCTTATCGCTCTGCATGTGTGTTGTGTGTGTGTGTACTCATGTCATGATGTATGTGCGGAGGTCAGAGGAGAACATTGTGCAGTTGACTGTCTCCTGCCTTTGTACGGGTTCTGGGGTTTGAACTCGGGTTGCCAGGCTTGGGAGGCAAGTTCCTTTAGCTGATGAGCCATTTTGCTGGCCCCTCCTTTTCAGTCTTGCTTAGTGATTTGATGAAAACTTTCCAGTGGTCACAGTAGTCCGGGAACTAACAATAACTTCATTACCCAGCATGGACACCAGCCCAGGCTCTAAGTGCTTGCCGCTTTAAGCCTATCTGATCCTCATAAGAACTTTTTGAGGGAGCCCGGCGGTGGTGAAGCACACCTTTAATCCCAGCACTTGAGAGGCAGAAGCAGGCGGATATCTGTGAGTTCGAGGCCAACCTGGTCTACAAGAGCTCGCTCCAGGACAGGATCCAAAGCTCCAGAGAAACTCTATCTTGAAAAAAAAAACAAAAACAAAACAAAATAAAAAAGAACTTTATGAGGGGAGGAGTGTCAGTATTTGTGAAGAAAGACAGAGAGAGGTTAAGCACCAGACCCAGTGTAGCCCAGCTTGGAGTGACTTGAGCCCCTTTCTGCAGTGCGTAGTCCTGTGGATGATCTTGTTGGCATCGACTATTCCCTCCTGAAGGATCCTGTGGTCTCCAATGGCAATATGGACTTGGAATTCCGGGTGAGCTGAGTGACTTGGTTACTTGTGACCTCTGACCGCCAACCAGCTTCCTTCTCTCTGTGGCTGAGCAGGGCTCTGCAAACTGACTCTCTGTCCTCTGCTGTTCTGCTGTGTCTTCCTGCTGTTGCTGCTGCCTTGGGTTCAGCCCCCTGGATCTGGAGGGCAAGCCCCACCTTTCTAGCTATGTCCGGTGTCTCTGCAGCTCCTCCTGTCCAGCTGGGCCCCACAAAGGACCTTACCTCAGGGACTTGCTCATGCCCTACCCATCCCCTGCCTCTCCCAACCCTGTGAATCAGGCACCAACAGTCTTCTTTGGGTTTCCGAGAGGGACTGAGTCCAAGCCCTCCATGGGTACCATGGTCTGAGGATGTTCAAGTTCACCATTTAAAATGGTGTCACGTTTGTGGGACATCTAGCCTGCAAATGTCCACTGATTGATACAATATTGTGTGCGTGCAATACATGCCATGGCACACATGTGGAGGTCAGAGGTCAGCTTGTAGAAGTTGGTTCTCTCCATCCACCTGGGGATCAAACTTAGGTCCTCAGGACTGCCAGTAAGCTCCCTTACCAGAGGAGCCGCTATCTTGCCAGCCTGACAATGCTGTTTGTTTGAGACAGAGTCTCTCTGTGTAGCTCTGACATTCCTGGAATTTGCTTTGCAGACCAGGCTGGTCTCACAACTTAGAGATCCCCCTGCCTCTGACTCCTGAGTGCCGGAATTGAAAACGTGCGCCACCACATCCAGCAACAATACTTGTTTTTTTAAGGTTTATTTTTATTTTCTGTATATAAGTGGTTTTGTCTGTCTGTCTGTGTAGTCCATGTGTGAAGAGGGTTTAGAAACCCTAGACCTGGACCTATACAGACTGCTGTGAGCTGTCACATGGTTGCTGGGAACTGAGCCCATATCCTCTGGTGCTCTTAACCACTGAGCTGTCTCCCCCAGCTGCTGCTTTTAATTATAGTTGAATTTGTGTGTGTGAAAACACAGCTGTGTTTTTAGAACTTTTTTTTTTTTTGAGTTTTGGAAATAAATATTTCACTGCAGAGAACTTAAGCGAAAGAGTAAAGAGTTCCTGGATAGCAGGAGGGGTCCTTGGAAGTAGGGTACCACATAGCTGCTAGTCTGGACTGATGGTGGAAGCTGGGGGGAGGGGGCTGAGCTGGTCAGTCCGGTTGGCCCAGCCACCGTGTCCAGGTGACTCTTGGCTTTCAGGCAGGTCTTTAGGTATCGCTTCAGGTGTAGCTTCGGGGTAGGAGTGACCGAAAACCTGAAGCCGGGAGCAGAGCACTCTCCTGGCATCCTGCCTCTAGCCAGGACATTCTCACAACTGCTGCTCTGGGGTCCCTGCCCCACTTGGCCTGTTCCTACCTCCTGTTCTCATCCCCACACCCCAAGGAGTAGCCCTATCTGCCTTTAGGGAATGTGGGTAGCTACCAGTCCGGCTTCTTTGAGCTGAGCGGATCATCGGGTGTGGCAGTTGCTGGTCCCCTCCACTGGGCTCTACCTAAGGGACCCAGAGAGTTTACCAGTAGCTCCATTTGTTTAACGGCTGGGTGTTGTGAGGGGCCTTGGTTGGTACCTGGATAATGATGTGATGGGGGAGTAAGGTGAGAGAGGATAGGGGAGAAATGGACCAGGGACCTTTGTGTGGAGAAAACAATTCCCTTCTAGTGGGAGCAGGCAGTTTTTACAGCTCAGCATTACAAGCCCTAAGCAGACGACCAGGACAGGCTGAAAAGATGGGCACATTAAGCCGTGCAGTGGTGGCGCACGCCTTTAATCCCAGCACTTGGAGGCAGAGGTAGGCGGATCTCTGTGAGTTCGAGGTCAGCCTGGTCTACCAGAGCTAGTTCCAGGACAGGCTCTAAAGCTACAGAGAAACCCTGTCTCAAAAAACAAAAACAAAAACAAAAACAAAAAAAAAAAAAAGAAAAAGAAAAGAGAGAGAGAAAAAAAAGAAGGGCACAATCAAATTAAAACCTGTAGCGCCTTTCACAGACTCAGGCCACATCCATTTGTGGCTAGCTTAGTGGACCTTTTTCCTAGGCCTTCAAGGCTTGACTGGAGAGTGCTGAACCCAGGTTCTGCCTTGCAGCCTTTTTGGCAGCTGGAATGGCTAGATATGAGATCTCTTCCTGATGGATTCTCTCTTCAGTTCCTGGCCAGGAAGTCATCAGGACATAGGGATTACTGGAGCATCTTTGAATTTGATGGAGACCTTTTCTTTTGTCCAAGGTGGGCTTAGATAGGGGGGCTAGAGAGAAAATGGACAGCCACCAAAGCCATCCTGAGCCTGCAGGTTTCAAGGTTTGATGTTTGTTTTTAGAGGACTAGCCCTAGCTGGCCTGAAACTCAGGCTGACCTTGAATTCAGAGATCTGCCTGCCTCTGCCTCGGAAATGGGAATTCTGGGATTAAATTCTGGCCACTGGGCCAGACAGCCTTCAGGTTCTTATTTCACAGATTTGAAGAATGAAAAGCGTGGACCACAGGGAGTGAGTGACTTATAAGTTTAAGTAATTTTATTTTAGGGAGAGGGAGAGAAGGCAGGGCTCCTGTATAGCAGGACTAGGTCCCAGGAAATAGGGCACCCCAGCTGTGTTCATCTGATGGCTATGAAGACTTGCCCAACGTCAGCAGTTTGTATGTGACCACCTTTGTGCCTTCTTGTGGCTGGCAACAAAGTGTTCTAAAGACTCTGCAGCTCAACTGTTGTAAGTTCAAATCCTGATCCCACCCCTGGCCAGCAGCACGACATCAGGCAGATGGCGTCACCCATCTGTGCCTGTTTCCTAGTAAGTGCAAAGAACAGAGTGAGAAGCCGTGACTTCCAGGGCTGTGGCGCGGACCAAAGGAGCCTCTGTTAGACAGACTGAAGGAAGCATTCGTGGTGGCGCATGCTGGTATATTCCAACCCACAAAAGACCGAGGCAGAAGGATTGCCATGAAGTTGAGCCCAGCCAGGGCTACATTAGCAAGACCACATCTCAAAATCACATAAGTCGAGAAGGGCACTGAGTACCTGGAACTGGGTGGCCAGGATGGATATGTAAATTTGGCTGTGATTACTGCTGCCAGTATCCAAGGCCACTCAGACTCCTCCTTTGCTGTGTTATTTTCCCTGGTCCTCTCTGCCTTCCTTTTCTTTGTTTCTTTGCTCCTTCCTTCCTTCTCTTTCTGGGCTTATTTATGGTGTGAAAGTTTTGCCAACTTTTTAAGTACAGCAGTGTCTTTGCGGTACCTGTGGAGAACAGAAGGGTTCTCTGGAACTGGCAGACTGTTGAGACTGTGTGGGTGCTGGGAGTTGAACCCCAGTCCTCTGGAAGAGCAGTACATACTTTTAATATCTGAGCCGTCTCTTCAGCTCCATGCCTTGCTTCTTGTGCTCCTCCTGTTCTCCTGGCCTCTTTGCAATACTTTTTGAGAGATGAGCCCATGAGTACCCCCCTCCCCCAACCCAGGACAGCCACAGAGTCCAGTTCTCCGTGACTCCTGACTGTGCCTGGCACAAATCCGATCTACCTTGACCCTGACCTCCCAATTCCAGGGAACATTCTTCCCCTTGACTGATGGGAACTGGAGCTTCTTCAACAGGGCGGTGGAGCCACAGTTGGAGGAGGAAGAGAGGATGGTGTATGTGGCCTTCTCTGAGTCCTTCTTTGACTCCGCCATGGAGAGCTACTTCCAGGCTGGAGCCCTGCAGCTGACGCTTGTGGGGGACAAGGTATGCCAGGCTTGTCTGAGGCTGGGTGAAGAAGGGCCCATGATGGAGGGGTTAGTGACCTTGTCTCATTCATTCCTAATTCCCCTGTTCAGGTGCCAAGTGACCTGGACATGCTTCTGAGGGCCACCTACTTTGGGAGCATCGTTCTCCTAGTGAGTATTGGCTAGAGGCAGGGGTGTGGATGGGGTTGAAGGTCACCCCACTGTCATGTCACGACAGTGAGGTGGTAGGTGGAGGGTACAGTTGGAGATCTCCAGCGGTGGCTGTAAAGGAAACTGAAAGCCTGGCCTTTTGCCTGTGGCCGAGTCCCCTCACCTCGCCAAGCCCGTTTCCCACTTTGTGGAGCAGGGTTGGTACTGCCTGCCCTGTCGACTTCACAGAGCAGCTGGAAGGTTGGGAGAGAACCTGAGCCTTCCAAGTGTCGGGGCCTTCAGGGTGGCCGCTACACTCATTTCTTTACCTTTATTTAATGGGGGAGGATGGAAGGAATGAAAACATTTAAAACAGGGGTTTAGGGATATAGTACAGTTAGTAGAATGTTTGCTGTGTATGCGTGAAGCCCCGAGTTCTAGCCCCATCTACAAATATTTTTAAAAAATATGCCAGGCGGTGGTGGTGCATGCCTTTAATCCCAGCACTTGGGAGGGAGAAGCAGGTAGATCTCTTGAGTTCAAGCCCAGCCGGATCTACAAAAGAAGTTCTAAGACAGGCTCCAGCTTTAGAGAAACCCTGTCTTAATTTTGGTTTCCAGCACCCACACAGTAGCTAACTGTCTGGAACTCTAATTCAGGAGGATCCAGTGCCCTCTTCTGGTCTCCGAGGGCACTGCATGCATGTGAAAATACAGAGCTACAATTTTGTAAGTGACAGGAATTTGAGTCTGTGTGACTCCAGGTCACACTGGCCTTCTCTACACACATAATCTTGTAAGCATGTTGTGAGTTCTCAGTGAAGTAAAACGTGTAATTAGACAGTACCAGAAGCCGGGCGGTGGTGGCGCACACTTTTAATCCCAGCACTTGGGAGGCAGAGGCAGGCAGATCTCTGTGAGTTCGAGACCAGCCTGGTCTACAAGAGCTAGTTCCAGGACAGGCTCCAAAGCCACAGAGAAACCCTGTCTCGAAAAAAAAAAAAAAGAAAAAGAAAAAAGAAAAAAAAAAAGATAGTACCAGCTATGGGGCACGTGTTCGGTAAAACAGCTGCTGTTGCTGCTGCCGTCCTCGTGAACACAATGGCGGAGTAGTTAAGAGTACGGCTGTGTTCCCAGGCTGCTTGTATTTATCGGTCAGCTCTGCAGCTGAATGACCACACAGACCTTTGTCCTTCTGCTTCAGTTCCCTGGGGGATTGGCTCAGTGAGTAACGTGTTTGCCTTAGACACAGGAGGAGCCGAGCTCGGATCCCTAGCACCCGTGTTAAGAGCTGGGAGCAGAGTTGTCACAGCTCTGGGGAGGGGGCAGGAGGATTCCTAGGATTTGTTAGTCAGCCAATCCAGCTGGATCAGAGAGCTGCAGGTCCAGGGAGAGGCCCTGCCGCAAAAAATAAGGTTGGAAGTAAGAAAGAAAGACACCTAAGTTGAGCTGTAGCAAGAGCATATATTCACGCGTGCACCCATGTGCGTGCACACACATACTGCATGCACATACACAGAATGAGGATAATAGTAGCTGGCTCATTTGGTTGAGCTACTGTGTATGTATGCTGTGGTCAGAATTATGCTTAAAGGGATGTTTGTTTTTGAGATTGGATCTCATATTCTTATATAGCCCAGGTTGGCCTCAAATTATATATATACACACACATATATGTATATAATTATATATGTGTGTGTGTGTGTGTGTGTGAATGCCTGCTCCTCCTGCCTCTACCCTACCTCCCAAAGACTGGGATTACAGGTTTAGCTAGCACACCTGCTCAGACTCACACTCAGCAGTGAGTAAGCGCCCGCATTTAATAGTATCACGCGGTCTGTAGAGCGCAGAGATGAGGAGGGATGTTTAAGCAAAAAGGTCATCCATTCCTGGGGAGTCCCGGATGGGGTTTGAGTCTGGATTAGCTACTGAGGAGAAAGTGGGGAGCAGGGAGTCAGGTGTGGGGTGCGTGCTATAATTTCAGCACTTGAAGGCTGAGCCGGGGGAGCTCTGGAGTCCAGCATTTCAAGACCAGTCAGGCAACATAGCAAGAGCCCATCTCAAAAGAGAAGGAAGGAAGGAGACTACTTTGACCAACTCATGGGGGCTGGGTGCAGGTCAGAAGGGCGTGGGGCAGTAGTTGCAGTCTTGCGGTAGCACAGTCTGTACCTGCAATCCTTGTCTCCCAAAAGGCTGAGACTTTGTCCCCCAGTATCCCCAGGGCTCACCAGGTAACAATTTGGGACTGTGACCCACCTTCCTTATCCCATCTCCAGAGCCCTACAGTGATTAACTCCCCACTGAAGCTGAAGCTGCAGGCTGTGAGCCCTCCGCGTTGCACCATTAAGCCCTCGGGCACCACCATCTCTGTCACTGCCAGCCTCACCATCACCTTGGCCCCGCCCATGCTGGCTGAAGTCGAGCTGTCTAAGATGATCATGGTATGGCCCCAGAATGAGGGTACCTGGGGGTCAGTGAGAAGTGGGTTGTGAAGTGGTCTCCGAACTTTCCCAGTTCCTAATGGCTCTGCACTTCCCTTCAGGAAGGGCGTCTCAGTGCTAAGATGACACTCCGGGGCAAGGCACTGCGAACCAAGCTGGACCTTCGCAGGTAGGTGGTCGATAAGGATCCTGGGTAGGCCCTTAGCTTCTGAGCCTTAACACCTCTGATAGTGAGTGATACCTGCCCAATAGAACCATGGGGCTAAAACCAAACTCTTCCTGTAAGCCTCCAACAAGCTGGGATCTGTCTTTGTTAGTACATAGGAAACCGAACTCAAGTCTGGGTGTTACGGTTCATGCCTTTAAGTACTCAACATAGGCACGTGGATCTCTGAGTTTAAGGTCGCTCTAGTCTATATAGTGAGATCCAGGCCAGCCAGAGCTACATAGTGAGCTACTGTCTCAAAATAAACGAATGAATGAATAGAGAAGATTTTAACTCAGGCCTGGAGAAATGGCTCAGTGGTTACAAGCACTGGCTGCTCTTTCAGATCAATTCCCAGCACCCACATGGCAGCTCACAACTGCCTTTAACTCCAGTTCCAGGGGATCTGACACCTTCATAGACATACATGCAGACAAAACACCAATGTGCATAAAATAAAAATAAATAAGTCTTTTTTAAAAAGATTTTTAACTCAGGGATATAGGGATGGCTCAATTAGTAAAGTTCTTGCCTTGTCAGCACAAGGCCCTGAGTTTGAATCCCTAGAGCCCATGGGAAAAGCTTTTAATCCCAGTGATGATGACTAGACACAGGTGGATCCTTGGCAGCTCTGATGAGAGCTAATCTGCCTTTGAAAGACCCTGTCTCAAACAAAAGGTGGGCGGCATCTAAGGGCCAACACCCTGGAGGGTGTCTTCTGACCTCACATGCACACACACACACACACACACACACACCTACACATCCAAGTTCTGTGTTAGTAGACAGCCAAAGATGATCCTGCCTCCATCTCTGGAGTGCTGGGATCACAGGCACCCACCACTATGTCCCGTTTAGGCAGAGCTCGGGAGCTGAACTCAAGGCCTAGGGCATGCTAGATGGCAACACTCTACCAACTGAACCACATCTCCCCAGCCCCCAAAGTACTTTTATCTTTTTTTTTTTTTCTTTTGAGACAAGGTCTCACTCTGTAGCATTGGGTGGACTGGCACTCTATATATTGGGCTGACCTCAAAGTTAAAGAGATCTGCCTCTTGTGTGATGGGATTACAGGTGTGTCACCATTCCTGGCTAACAGTGGTTTCTAAAGCAACGCCTCTGCATTCTCCCAGCATCCAGAAGCAGGCAAAGTAGGTATTATTAGAGACCAGCAAATTGGTTCAGTAAGGCTAAATGACACACCCGCAGTTACACAGCCAAGAGGATGGAAACACTGGTTCGGGCATCAACCTGGGCTCAGTGCAATGGTTACCTTGAAGCAAGTCATTTTCTCGTTCTAAGGCTCATTTCCTCCTGTGCCGAATACCAGTGCAAATACCATCTTCTCTAGGGCTGAGCCAAGCGTCATCGCCCCTGGCCATGTGCGACTCTGCATTTTATAGTTATAATTAAACAGCTGTACTTCACAGTTCGTTAACTAGTGGCTACCTAGCAGACAGTGCAGATACAGAGGCTGAAACAAAACCAGGGAAGGTAGCAGGGTCTTGGAATCTAGAGGCAGGGTCTAGTCCACACAGCCACGTGACTTCAGGCAACTTACATCACCTCTGCAGCTTCAGTTTCCTCACTGGTGCCAAACAATTTCTAAAAGCCCCAGATTCTTAGGGCTATGAGTGAGGACTGAGTCACTCTGTGTTTTACAGTATTGCAGCTCGGCCAGGTTTGAGGCCAGCCAAGGCTGCCCTACATAGCAAGACCCTACCTCAAACATCACCAATGACAAACAATCCCAAGGACTGGAGAGATAGCTAAGTGAATAAATTCAAGGATGACAGCCTGAGGTTGAGCCCTAAAACCCACCTAAAAACCTGGGGTTTAGGGGTCACGGCTTGTAATCCCAGCACTGGAGAAAGCACAGCAGGATCCCTGGGCTCACTCCCCGACCAGCCTGGCCTAACACGGGAGCTGCAGATCAATGAAGAGATTCTGTCTCAAAACAGCACGGTGGATGGTGTGTGAGGAAAAATGACCCGAGTTTGACCTCCAGTCTCCATGTGCACATATCCATACATACCCCTACACACGTGTGTACCTTTACCCATGCAAACACACATACACACATGCACACACATGTATGCACGTGCCTCAGCAGCATATGTGTGTATATTTATGTGGTGTTGAGAATAGAACTGGGCTTTATATACATGCCAGGGAAGAGTTCTGCATCTCCAGGTCAGCATCCATCCTTCCTTCCTTCCTTCCTTTCATCCCTTCTTGAGACAGAGTTTCTCTGTGTAGCTCTGGCTGTCCTGGAACTCACTCTGTAGATCAGGTTGGCCTTGAACCCAGAGATCTGTCGGCCTCTGCCTCCTGAGTGTTTTTTTTTTTTCTTGGTCTTAATATGTAAACCAGGCTGGTCTGGAATTCACAGAGACCCACCTGCCTCTGCCTCCTCCCAAGTGGTGGGATCAAAGGCCTGTGCCTCTGTGGCAGCTCTCAATTTTTTTTTTAAAGATTTGTTTTTTAGTAATAGTTTAATTATGTGTGCATGCGCATGCGCACACACCATGTATACATGGGTGCCTAAAGAGGTCAGAAGACGCTTCGGATGTCCTGAAGCTAGAGTTACAAGCCATGTGAGTTGCCAGACATGGGTGCTGGGAACTGAATTCAGCCTCTGAAAGAGTCGCAAGTGCTCTTAACCTCCGAACCATCTCCCCAGTACCGTGTCCCACCCCAACTCCTTCCTGATCAAAGGTCTAGGCTGGTCTGGTACTCAAAGAAAACTGCCTGCCTTTGCCTTTAGAAAGAAAGCTGACTGCCGGCTGTAGGGGTCCATCAACCTGGCTAGCTTTTCTTTTTAAAATTAATTTGTGTTGCCAGGCAGTGGTGGCGCACGCCTTTAATCCCAGCACTCGGGAGGCAGAGGCAGGCGGATCTCTGTGAGTTCCAGACCAGACTGGTCTACAAGAGCTAGTTCCAGGACAGGCTCCAAAGCCACAGAGAAACCCTGTCTCGAAAAACAAAACAAAACAAAAAAGAAAAAAAAAAGGAAAGGGGGGGCTCCAAAGATGAGTGTCACTCAAGCATGCACACCTGGGGAATGGCAGCTCCCTGAAAGAGGACTAGGTAGGGCCTGGAAGGCTGACACTTGGGGCCATCTTTAGGTAGGGCCAAGAAAAGGATGTCCTCAGGTTTCATGGCCACGGTGCACATTTCTCTCCTGCAGGTTTCAGATCTACTCAAATCAGTCTGCGCTGGAGTCTCTGGCAGTGAGTCGGGGGGTGGCGGTGGGTGGGTGCACTGGGGCAGGCTGGCAGTTCACACCAACCCACCACCCATGCGCTCCTGTCTGTGCCCTTTTCCCCCAGCTGATCCCACTGCAGGCCCCGCTGAAGACACTGCTGCAAATTGGAGTGATGCCCATGCTCAATGGTAGGGGCTGGGGGGGGGGGGGGGGCGAGGAAGGAAGGAATGGGGGCAGGGGCTTAGCTGGAGGGACCTGGCTGAGCCTGCCTCTCCCACCCACAGAGCGGACCTGGCGTGGGGTGCAGATCCCCCTCCCCGAGGGCATCAACTTTGTGCGGGAGGTGGTGACCAACCACGCGGTAAGTAGATTGTGGGTGGGAGGATGCACTCCAGGGTCTTCCCCTCCGACAACACCCCAGTGCTTTCTGTCCCCCAAAGCCCCTTTTCCACTAGTTGCTCCTTCCTAGCAATTAGCAAGGGATTTTATTCAGAAACAAAGCCAAGCTATAGAGGAGATACACCTCAAAGGAGCTGCCCCCCCCCCCCCCCGAGATCTCTCAATTATGTGTTTGTTTGGAAAAGCTGTCTCCTAAAGGACAGAGTGAGACTCCCTGTCCCCTTCCCAGGGCTTCCTCACCATTGGGGCTGACCTCCACTTTGCCAAAGGGCTTCGAGAAGTGATTGACAAGAACCGTCCTGCCACCGTTGTGGACTCCAGTGTCGCCCCACCCTCTGCAGTGGCTGCCTGAGTTCTTCATCCCACCCAGGCAGCTGGCATTCAGGAATTGGGTCTTCTCGGCATCAGCCCTGGCCCCCCCCCCCACCGCCTGTAGTGTGTCACCAGTGCCACAGAGAAGCATTCGGTTTGAAGCTATACCCGATTTAATTTCATAACCAGTCAGCCATCAATTACAATCCATCCACCCCTCTTCTTGGGCTGCCCTAGAGCTCTGTTGGGGTCCTGGGATGGGGCATTCATTAAGCAGGTGGGGGGAGGTCAGGCCACGGGAACAAAGTGCTCACTGCCCCTAGGCTGTCTCTGTGAAGCCCTGAGGCCCAGGCTGGGATGCACAGGGCTGTGCTAAGTTGGGGACAGTGTTAGAGCAGGACCTGCCCCACAGGGGCATTTTGCATAAAGGAGGACCTCTCTCAGTCGAGAGAGGCTGGGAGGGGCTGGAGGACTGAGGACTTCCATGGGTCCCCTCAGTAAGGCTCCTTGTTTAGGAATCGAGAGAACATGGTGAAGGCAGCTTGGGGTTTGTCCGTGGGGACCATGTGTCCAGCGCCCTGGGGAGCACAGCTTTATGAGATTCGGATCCCCAATACTTATCACCCTTACCCCCGGTACTTCATCCCAAGACCTTTACTCCCCTCTTCACCCTGAAAGCTTGCCCTGATGCACCAGTGGTGACCCAGAAGAAACAAAAGCCAGAGGGTAAAGAAGGGAGGTCCCACCACTGTCCCTCCGGCCTCAGCTGCCCCTCACTGGGCTCCAAGTCCTACCTTGATGGTGATGAAGGTAATGTGGGAGAACTCCTTCACAAAGCCGGCTACCTGCTCTCCACTCTCCCCATAGTCCACCAGCCAGGGCCGACGCTGCACCTCCATCTGGCCCATTGGGAAAGACATCAGCCAGTGGCTCCTGCCAGCCCTGCCCACAGCTGTCCTCGAGACCTCAGGACTGGAGAGTCCTCTTCAGGTGTGCCCTCTGCAGACGAGAGTCACTCCTGGCACCCCACGCCCCCACCCCCCAGCACAACCTTACCTTCTGGTTGAGGGAATCCACAAACCACTCATCCCCCATGAAATTGCAGGCCATGTCCACATCGCCATTGTACAGTAGGATCTGGTATTTCTGGAGTAGAAGGGGAAAACAGAAGTGTGGGATAGGCCCAGGCCCTCAGCCCTTCCCTGGTTCAAGCCCTACCTTCCTGGGAATGCAGAAGCCCAGCTAATACTAGGAACCTGAAATTCTCATGTTTTCTGATCGCATACTACATGTCCAGTAAGCACCAGTCAGATGCTTTTACTGTCTAGGGAGGAAGATACCCCATCCCCCAAATAGACAGTCTCATCACGGGAGCCCAGATTGTCTCAGAATTTGAAGTTTCTCCTCAGTCTCCCCAGGGCTGGCCTTATAGTTATGACTCACTATGCCCAGATGATTAGTCTTATTTTACAGACAGAGAAAACATCGCTGGGAATGCATAAGACACTTTCCCAGAGCTGGGCATGTTGGCACACACCTGTAATCCCAGAACTGGAGAGGCTGAGACAGTTTTGCTGTGTTCAAAGCTAGCCTAGGCTACATAACAAGACAGAGTCTCAGAATAGCAACAGAAAAAAAAAAAAAAAAAAAAAAACAGCCACCAGGGCGTTGTGGGGCAAGTTCCGAGAGGCGCCCCACCTCACCTGCTGCTCTAGAACCTAAGGCTACAATGGCGGAAAGCTTCAGAAGCCACAGAGGCTGGAGCCTGCTGTGCTGCGCCCACATACCTGTGAGCTTAGCAGCTTCAGGTACTGGGAGTTCATGCTTTGGTAGAGACGGCGGTACTGTAAGTTCACCACGAAGCTGCCGGGAGCACATGCATAGGATGCAGAAAGAAACACAGAGGAGGCCAGTCAACAATCGGAGCTTTCTGATTCCCAGCGCTGGGTCTATCACCTCTCCTTGGACCTACTTATCTGAACCGAAATGGCATTCAGAGATTTCTCAACCCACTCAAACTTGGAGATGTGTGGGCGCATCTTTTGGTTGTTACAACGGCTGGGATATAGCTGGCTTTAGTGTAAAGGGACCAGCAGGTGTGGAAGCTGTAACAGCTGGTAATGACAGAGCAGAGGATGGGCACTGACCAATCAGGAAAGACCTCACTAGGCTCTGATGAGCTAGGGCTACCCTTTTACTTGATGGGGTCACAGAATGAGCAGCTCTGGGTGGCAGTGGAGTGGAAGTTGGGACAGCGCCTATGTCAGAAAAGGATCTGATGATAACCAATGTGGCCACCTCCGAGTTAACTGAATGTCAATCAAGATGGAGGTCAAGGCCACTAAATACCCTGCCCAGCTAATTTTCACCCGGAATGTCCACACCGCCCGCTCTGAGGAGCCCTAGCTGCAGGACCCCCGTGAACCCTGCTGACGCCACCTCCTGAATCATGAGTGGCCACAGAAGCTCACTTGCACATGTCCCAGCGGGGCAGCTTCTCGGGGATGTGGAGGGCCTTCCGAACATACGGGTTGTTGAGGTAGGTGGAGGGGGCTGTGGTGTTGGTGCAGGGGGGATCCAAGCGTACCTTGTCCCCAGAACGCAGCAGCAGTGCCTGGGAGCAGGGACACAGGGTGAGGGCCTTTACTCCTCTGCCCCACCTACTCCCCCAGGGAAAGCCCGTGCCCTCGCATACCTGATGGAAGGTCCGCTTGAGTGGCAGGCGAGTGAAGAGGTTGCCGAAATCCTGAATCACAAGAGTGTCCTCATATCTGAAAAATAAATAATTAAGAAAGATGGGTGCTGGGCCTGTAGAGGCCGTTGGGGTTGGCCCCAGGCATAACCAGCAGCACCTACCTATCACTGCCAGGCACCCCACCAGCACACGGAGCGTAGAGATTGTAGATGTTGAGGCCAGATTTGCCCACAATTCGAGACACTTCCTGGAGCTGTGCCAACATACCATCATGTTTTCTTCAATCTGTGACCCTCCATGACCCACTCATCTCCCCTCAAAATTAGCTGCTTTCCTACCTCATCTCCTGTCACCACCCTTCACCCACTTTTTTCCACAGACCCCAAAGCTCATTGGAAGCAATCTTCCAGACCTGGGTCCAGTCCTAGCACCGCTGTTCCCTGGCTTCAGTTTCCTCACTGGATGTCGCAGAGACCACCACATATGGGAAGGTCCAGGACAGAGAGGCTGTGAAGTGGGCTGGAGCTACAGCCCAGTTGGTAGAGTGCTTGTTATGCATGCATTAGGCCCTGGGTTCAACCCCCAGTACCACCCAAAGGAGACGCAATGGAGCTGGAGAGATAGGGGGTTCCCAAGGTGAGGTGTGAGCCGCATCTCGGGACTAGGGTGGAAGGGCGGAACCTCACGTTGTTGATGCATTCTGGGTCTTTGTTGTCATAGAAGTTGCACTTGTTCTGAGAGCAGCAGTGGGTCTGGAGCAGAGTCCAAAGCCTGCAGATCAAAGTGCTCAGGCTGAGGGAGGGCAGAGGCACTAAGCGGTGCAGAGAGGCGCTAAGTAGTGCGGCACTGTCCCCTGCTCCTCCAACCTCCTCAGACCCTGACCCCAGGGGAAGAGGAAAGATAAGACAGGGTACGGTGTATAGGCTGTTAACTCAGTTCCCAAGAACCTGCCCCCTAGTCCATACAGAGAGTCTTCCTCGGGGCCCTTTTAAAATGAAAAAAAGAAATGTTTTCGAGACGAGGTTTTTCTAGGTAGTCTGGGTTCAAGGTCTAAACTCACTGTGCAGCCCAGCTGCCTGTTTCCAGGTGTCAGCTGAGGGCTGTTTTCCACCATGCCCAGACTCCTTACCTCCTCTACATCTTGGCCTCTAAGCATCAAACCCTTTGTTTGGCCAACCCTACCTAGTCATAATCAGAGCAGGAATATCATGTGCTGGAGGACAGATCTGAGATCTCAGGACTTGCCCCACCCTCCACGTTGCCCAACCGTCCCGCTCCCATACCTGTTCCCCAGAAGACCATGGTAGTAGGCAAAATAGACCAGGGAGTTGTCATTCTGTTCATAGGAGGCAAGCCCGTTGCCCACAGCCAGCCCCTGTGAAAGAGCCGGAGTTCTCAGTTCATCTGAAGGGTGAGGATGAGGGGACCTTCCCTTGACCTGCAGTCTAGAAGCTGAAATCAATCCAGAGTGGGTTGTGGGGGTGGGTGAGGTCACTCAATCTAAAGAACGTGAGTGGCAGCCTGGCAGGTGAGCTTCCGGTAGGAGGAGGAGGAGGAGGTGGTGTGCAAGCTGACAGCAGGGAGTGCCCAACCTAGGCTGACCTAACTAATCCAAGGTCATGGCCCCAAGGTGTCTCTCCTCCCTCCGGTAGCAGTCTTGCACCTGAAGGTTCATGCTGGGATCCTGCATGACCAGAACAGCCAAGGTAGGGATGTAGATGCCAGCGTAGCTCTCCCCCGTCAGGAAGAGTTTGTTGTCCTTGTACTCCGGGAAGAGGCGAAAGAAATCTTTCAGGGCTTCGAAATTGTTCTGAGCCACCTGGGGAAGGTGAGATGGAAGAGGCCGGAGACCTGAGAGGTTTAAACTGGAGAGATCCTCAGAGATAGCGAGCCCAGCCCACTTTATTTTGTGCAAGAGGAAGTGATTTTGTAATGAGCCTACCACAGGTCACATGACAGAGCCAAAAGTGGACTCTGAGGTCATACTCTCTCCCCAATCACGCTATCGGGGAGGCAGCCAGAACAGGGCAGGTGGGCAAGCCCGACTCACCTCTGTGTCGTTGGTCACGTAGGTCTTGTCGTCTGAGTAGGAAAAGCCCACTCCGGCTGGGGACTCAATGTACAGCATGTTGGCGATCTAGAAGGAAGGGGGGAATGAGCGGAAGAGGGTTCCCCACCCCTGCAAGTACCCAGACAGCCCCGCAAGACCCACAACTGCAGGCGTACCAGATTCCAAGAATAGGGGTTGTACTCCAGGGTGACACCATCTGGCTGGATCTGGGGAGGAAAGACAGCTGTGTGAGTCCCATTGGACAGCTGGGCGGTGAGAAAGAGCCACAGTGCTAGGCTCTTTGTTTATTGGTTTTTGAAGACAGGGTTTCTCTGTAGCTTTGGAGCCTTCCTAGAACTCGTCGTGTAGTCCAGGCTGGCTTCAGACTCACAGAGATCCGACTGCCCCCACCTCTCCAGTGCTGAGATTAAAGGCGTGGGCCACCACCGCCCGGCAGGCTCTTTACGTATTTCCACACTCCGGAGAGGTACAGAAAGTTAGGCCAAGGGTCAGATAAAACAAAACAAAATAAAATTGTAGGTTTTTTGCTTGTTTTGTTTTTAAGGCAAGGTTTCTCTGTGTTAACAGTCCTGGATGTCCTGGAACTCACAGAGATCCGCCTGCCTCTGCCTCCCGAGTGCTGGGACTAAAGGCCTGTGCCACCACTGCCCGGCTCAAAATAGAATTGTTAAGAAGGAAAACAAACTCTGGAAGCCACAAGTTCCTTCCTCTTCCCCACTCCTCCTGCCTTTTCCTTGTCGCTTCTTTTCCTTGTTTCCCGCCTCTCTCTACTCTCCAGTCGTCTCTCACAGCAGAGAACAGGGCTCAACTCACCAGGAAGGGGCCGTGCTCTGTAAGGAACCCATCTAGGGAGCTGCAGCCAGGACCCCCGTTGAGCCAAAGCACTACCGGGCTGTCCTTCGGGTCTTTCTGCGACTCCACAAACCTAGGAAGGGTGCAGGGCAGGATTGATGCAAGTAAGAGACCCTGTCCGCCCGCCCAGCTATCAAGCCCTCCTAGGCAGGCACGGCCGCACACCAGTAATGAAAGTGCTTCGAATCCGAGGCTCTGAGGTAGCCGGAGTACTGCCTGAAGCTGGGTTGTTTGGCCAGGCCGGGGAGGCAATCGATTTCATCCTGGTCCGGAGCCGCTTCGCCCCGGGATGCCCAGGACACAAGCAGCAGCAAGAGCAGTGGAGACAGCGCGGCTCGGAGCATCTGAGGGAGGAAGTATCGGCGGAGGATGTTTATCAGTCCCCCAGCTCCTTTGAGCTTCGGTGCAGCAGTCCCTGGGGAGGAGCTGGCGCTCATCTCCCGGAGAAGCACCCACCCGGGTCCAGCTCCCAGCCGCAGAGCCTCGATCGCTGTCCATCAGTCCGGGAATCTCCTTACCTCTGCTTCCTTGCGTCCTTGCTCTCTAGGAGGCGCCGGTGGATTGGAAGTCATGTGTAGTCCTCGTCACGTGAACGCCCGCATCACGTGAGAGCTTGTTCATGTCTTTTTTTTTTTTTTTTTTTTTTTTTTTTTTTTTTCTTGTCTGCCGGCCTGAGGGTCGGGAGCGGTCAGTTACCTGGCCAAAGTACACAGCTCCTAGGGTTATTAGCCAGGGTGCCAGAGATCAGATGATCTTGATATTAACAAGATTTCCCAGACTCCTGGGGACCTGTTACTGGCGAAGTGCCGAGAAAGCGGCGCTAGGACCCCCAGGCGGTGCCGGGGTTAGGTAGGTGAGGGGGAAATGCCTTACATGGTCCCCCGGCGGTCACCATCTGAGCCCGCCGCCCAAAATAGCCCTTGGCACGAGCGGGCTTGTCTCATGGCGGGGAGATGGCTGCTGCCTCCGGACCCATAGGGTTGGGTGACCCACGGGGTCCTGCGCGCTCGGAGCCCCCTCCTACCCGCTTCCATCAAGTTCACGGAGCCAACATCCGCGTGGACCCGTCGGGAACGCGAGCCACACGCGTGGAGAGCTTTGCCCACGGTGTGTGCTTCAGTCGCGAGCCCTTAGCCCCGGGGCAGGTATTCCTAGTGGAGATAGAGGAAAAAGAGCTGGGCTGGTGCGGGCATCTGCGTCTTGGCCTGACCGCTCTGGACCCGGCCAGTCTGACCGCTGTGCCCGAGTTTTCACTGCCTGACCTGGTCAGCCTTGGTCACAGCTGGGTCTTCGCGATCACACGCCACCACAACCGCGTGCCCCGGGAGGGTCAAGCATATGCAGAGTCAGCGGCCCCCAGCCGCCCCCAAGCCCTCTTGGTTGAACCCTATCTGCGCATTGAGCAGTTCCGAATACCCCGGGACCGCCTGGTGGGACGCAGCCGACCAGGGCTCTATAGCCACCTCCTGGATCAGCTCTATGAACAGAACGTGCTGCCTCCTACAGCGCGCCGTAGCCGCCTGGGTGTTCTCTTCTGCCCGCGTGAGGATGGGACCGCCGACATGCACATCGTCATCAACGGGGAAGACATGGGTCCCAGTGCTCGGGGGCTGCCAGCTGCCCAGCCCCTCTACGCTGTGGTAGATGTGTTTGCCTCCACCAAGAGTGTGCGCCTGGTCCAGCTGGAGTATGGCTGTAGGTATTCCACCTTACCTGGCTTAGTGTAGGGACAGGCACCTGCTAGGACATCACAGCCAGCTGGCAAGGCCTGAGATTGAGCAGCACTAGTTTTGAAGATGGAGAATCTGGTCTCGACTAGGGCATCCATCTGCTTGTGGTTTTGCACACATCCCTTCTTGGCCGTGGGCCTGAACCAGTATACTCAGCTGCTTGACTGAGACCCCACATGTCCCTTTTAGCTTGGACGATGTTTCAATGGGAGGATAGGGATTTTTGTTTTGTTTTGGTCTTGGAAACCAAATCAGGGTCTCATGCATGCTTGCTGTGTGCACATCCCAACCCCTAAGACAGGGATTCCAAAACCAATTGTAGACCTGAGGCTTCTTGAGAAATTTGTGAACTTGTTTAGTTTTGGTTTTCTGAGACCCACTCACTCTGTACCTCAGGCTGGTCTGGAACTTGGTCTTTCAGGCAGGCCTCAGACTTTCAGACACCCCTTTCTGTCTCAGCCTGCTGAGGGTTGGGGCCCCTACATTCAGCTATGAGTTCGTGTGTTTTATTAGGAAAATGCTCACAGATTTGGACCTCTTGGCTTAGAGCCACCACAGACCTCAGATTGAGAACTTTTAAATTCTGAAGTCTGGCTCATTGTAGCCCAGTAAACCTTTGACTGAAACCTCTGGTCACGTGTCTGAATACATTGCGCTGGAACCTGCAATGTACTGGGCTGTGGTTGCACAGGCAAATCAGACATGGAGCTGAGTAAAGGGTGAAGGAATCAGACTCTGTTGCAATAGAAGCAGCTGTGTAGACAAAGGCTCAGGAATTGGTGTATGTCAGCTATATATACAAGCAGCCCCGCCGGGCAGGGTGAGCCTGAGAGCAGAAAGTAATTCCCAGGTTGATGGCAAATAAGCAACCAAGATGTAGATTTCCTCAGCCCTGTTGTCACCTCCCCCAGATGAGTTTGTCTCTGACAGTCCTCTCTCCACAGTGCCGTCCCTGCAAACTCTGTGCCGTCTGGTGATCCAGAAGAGTGTGGTGCACAGGCTGGCCATTGATGGGCTCCACCTGCCCAAAGGACTGAAGGACTTCTGCAAGTATGAATGAAGGCCTGAGGCCACCGGAGCACAGCCACAGAAGTGCCATCCTGCCTCCAGAGCAGTGGCTGATCCGAAACTGGCCACGTGGTTAATGATCCGGGTGAGGAATAAATAGCCAGTGTTGATGTTCTGAGCACGGGAGGGTCTCCTTGTCTCTGCAGCCCTGGGGCAGCCACTTCTAGAGTCACCAGGCCAGAGAGAGTGTTTTAGAATCTGTCTAGATCAGGCCTCCATAGTGTGTGGGCTCCTTAGAATTATCTAGGACACTTGGTGAGTGCCAGTGCGCACACACACACACACACACACACACACACGCGCGCGCGCGCGCGCGCGACAGCTTCCATATTCTCCTTTGGTTTGTGGTTTGTCAGGGAATTAAACCCAGTCATCATGTATCCCTGCAGGCCAGAAGAGGGCATCAAATCTCATTACAGATGGTTGTGAGCCACCATGTGGTTGCTGGGAATTGAACTCAGGACCTTTGGAAGAGCAGGCAATGCTCTCAACCACTGAGCCATCTCTCCAGCCCTGTGTTGTTTTGATTTAGACAAGGTCTTGTCTGCAGCCTAGAGTGGCCTTAGACTCCCATATCCTGAGATTATTATAGGTGTGGGCCCCCATGCCTGACTTAAACACTTTTTTTTTTGTAAAAAGCCCCTTCAAAGATTCTAATAAATGGTCATAGTGAAGATGTATTTCACTAGATCAGAGGTTTTACCTTTGGGAAATACTATATTTACTGGTTTGAGACAGGGTCTTACTCTGTAACACGGGATCTTGAACTGTGGCAGTCCTATCTCAACCCGAGAGCCCAGGCATGGCCTACTAGTTCTGCCTCTGTCTTTTGCAGTACTAGGGACTGAGATTAGTGCCCAATCCAGATGAGTACTGTACCACCAAACCATTCTCCAGCCTCCCTCCAAACCTTTGAGGACGGGTCCCAATATGTGGCCCTCGCTTGTGTGAGACTCACAAAGATCTGCTTGTCATTGCCTCCTGAATGCTGGGATTAAGGGGTATACCCCCACACCCAGCTGCCAGTCCCCCTTTTAGTTATCATTTAGGACAGAGTCTAATTGCTCAGGCTGGCCTTAAACTTGTGATCCCTCTGCCTCAGCTTCCCAGGCAGCTGTTTCCAGGCCTGTTCCATTAGGCCTGACTCTGTTGTCTTCAGGAACATAAAAATATTGATACATCGGTCTGTCCCTGGCATTCTTGGTTGATGGAGTAGGATCCTAGTGGTATTCAAAGTCTCCCAGAGCCTGTGCTGGCCACCAGTGCCTGAACGAACCATGTCATTTTTCCAGGGGAAAACAAGCCAACAGGTGAAAATATATTTGTGTAAGGACAAATAGCAAATACTTCTTATTTTATTTATTTGTTTATTGATTTTAGAGACAGGGTTTCTCTTTGTAGCCCTTGCTGTCCTGGAACTTGCTCTGTAAACCAGGCTGGCCTCGAGCTCAGAGATCCACTTGCCTCTGCCTCCTGAGTACTGGGATTAAAAGTGTGAGCCACTATGCCTGGCTCTAGCAAATGATTTTAAACCACAACAAGAAGAAGAAGAGGGTCTGGCTGGAGATATGGCTCAGTGATTAAGAGCACTGACTGCTCTTCCGGAGGTCCTGAATTCAATTCCCAGCACTCACATGGTAGCTCACAACCATCTGTAATGGGATCTCATGCCCTCTTCTGTCACGCAGACATGCAGACAGAGCTCTCATATACATAAATAAATAAATCCTGAAAAAAAAATCACGAGGGTCACCTGTACTCCCAAGAGTTTGCCTTCAAACTGGTCATAAAGTGGAGAATGACCTTGGATTTCTGACCCTCCGGCCTCTCCCACCTGAATGCTGAGATCACAGGCCTGTGCCCCATGCTCGGTTTGAGTTGAGTGGTAGCGGATGATTGAATGAAAACCTTGACTCACACCTTAAGGCACAAAAGCACTGGCCTCATTTATCTCTATCTCTGATCGTTAGCTCCACAGGGATACTCTTATTTCACCCTCACAACTCCTGGGGAGGCAGGGGGCAGTATCACCCCCATTTTGCCAATGAGAATTTTTTGTTTTGTTTTGTTTTGTTTTTCAAGAAAAGGTTTCTCTGTGTAACAGTCCTGGCTGTCTTGGAACTTGCTTTGTAGACCAGACTGATCTCTAATTCACTGAGATCCACCTGTCTCTGCCTCCCTGGGATTAAAGGCGTGTGCCATCACTGCCGGCTGTAGATGAGGATACTGAGGAACAAAACTGTCTAGGTGAAGCCAGGGGCACACACCTATATTCCCAACACCTAGAAGGCTGAGACAGGAAGATCAAGGATTTGAGGCCAGTTACACAAAAGCAAAAACAGGCTGAGCATGGTGGTTTCACGCCTTTGATCTCAGCAAACAAGCTGGAGACAGGCCCGGAACAGGAAGTAGACCATAGGAAGTCCAGGCCAGCCAGGGCTATTGTAGTTTGATCCTGTCTCAAAAAACAAACAATAGAAACCAAATAGAAACCAAACAACTAGAATGTGGTTCTGAGGCAGCGCTCAGTCCTAGCATCTGCAAAGCCCTGGCTTCCGTCCCCGCACCAGAAGAGAGCAAAACAAAACCACCCGGCCAAGTTGATCCTGACGAAGATAATGAATGAAGAGTCTGGAACATCCCGATCCTGGTCCAGTGTCCCCTGGTCCATCTAACCCCCTCCCATTGTGACATACATGTTCTATATTGAACAGGCTAGTATTGTGAGGTAGGGTCCGGGTGTAGAGGGGACTATGAGGTGACATTGTAGAAAACTGGAGAGTCGGGCAGGACTAGGGCAGTTCCCTCACAAATAGGGACTTTGGGGCAGCCATGTCCTACTTCATATCTCCACAAACTCATCTGGGGCTTCTGTCTTCTGGCCAAGGTGAGAGGGGGGGGTCCTGGAACTGGAGGGGACACCACAGCTTCCCACGTGAAGTTGCTTCCTGGCTTTGGGGAGGAGGTTCTGCTGGATTTTTTGGGCTGACTGTGGAATCAGTTTTCTTGGAAGAGAAGATATCCAAAAGGCCTTGCCACTTACTAATTACCCACTTGCTCACTTATTCAACAAACATTTCCCCATCACCTGCAGAACTGGGACTGGCTGGAGCTATGGATATGAGTAATGCTTACATTCCATTCCCAGCCTCTGACAGTCCTCTTGGGCTGGTTCGGATGGATTGCCCCTGCTCCCAGGCCCTGCCCCTCAGGGCCTCTTCCTCCGAGAGACCAAGAATAACATTCCATCTCATTCCTGTCTCTGCAGGTGGGGCTGCTGCTTCGGGTCCGTCCCTTGGTCTCTATAGTTCTGCAGAGCCAGTGTTGGTGGCGTCTGGTGGATTAGGTCCACTCAGCCAGAAAGCTGAGCAGGTGGTACCTGCTGCCCAGGTCTGGGGTCCTACCTTGGCAGTGCCTGAAGCCAGGGGCTGCTCTGGGTGTGCTAGCTGGGAGACACCGCGGAAGGAACACAACCGATACTGCCCCAAATTGCCCCCCATGAGGCAGCTGGAGACCTTGAGCTGGGCAGACCCCTGCTCCCGAAGCAGAGCTCCCTACCTGGGTGGCCCTAGCAGGCCCCGGCCCCTGCTGCTGTATGGGCTGTCACCAGGGGTTCTGACGATGTCCTCCGAGACAGGTGGGAAGGAGGCTGGCTCCCAACCTGACATCTGCATCCTTACCCTAGCCATGATGATTGCGGGCATCCCCACCGTGCCTGTTCCAGGCCTGCGGGAAGAGGACCTGATCCGGGCAGCTCAAGCTTTCATGATGGCCCATCCAGAGCCAGAGGGGGCTGTGGAGGGGGTGCAGTGGAAAAGGCACATGCCCACATGGCCTCTGGACAGATGCCTCTAGTGAGATCCAGGAGGGACTCCCGCTTGTCGCCAGATGAAATAGCATGAGATGCATAGGGTGGCTTCTCCGTATGGTTTTTGGGCAGATAAGGTTGGGGATGGCTATGGCAGGGATGGGAACAGGGTGTGGGTAACTGAGCCATCCTGATAAATTGCACTGATTTGTTGGGACCCTCTCCCCGCTGCGTGAGATACCACCCAGAGAGATCTGACCAGGTTAAATGAAGTTACCTAGGTAGGAAGCCCTATTTAGAGAGTAGATGCTTATTTTGTATGAGGAACCTGAGAAATTTTTGTCTAAAGTTCTAGACATTGTGGATTTTCCTCTTGCCTTGTGTCCCTGAAGACAGACGGGGCTGTAGGCAAATGATGGAAACGTGGCTGAGCAAACCCTATGAACCCATTCCTCTTTAACATGACCCACCCTGTGAGGACGCCCACTTCACAGATAAATGGAGGCTTAGAGAGCTGCCTGCTGGGAGTCTCACAGCTGGCAAAGCAGAACCAGACCTAAAAAGGTAAAAAGAACAGAAGCAACACCTGCACACAGCCCCGCCCTGTGCACACAGCCCTGCCAGTTCTTCTCCTTTCACCCCCTAACAGACCATGTATAAAGCAGACCACAGGACAAGTGTGGGGACAACATTCACTTTATTGATCCCAGGGTGGGCCGGGAAAAACTGGGAAGCCTGCCTGACTCACTGCAGCAGCCTCTTCCTTTGTGGGAAGGCTCCAGAGTTGGCATCAGGTGAGCCATCTCATGACTGGGGCAGTAGTGACCAACACGGAGTCTTCAATCTCATTACCCCCCATCTCTCTCAAGGAATCCCTTGTTTACAGAAATTTCTTGAGCTATATTTTTCCTTGTGAAAAAGTTGTCAAATCTGAAGCCAGAATGTAGAACAAAGCCCACATTCGACCATCAAAGCCTACAAATGTTCACTACTGACCCCTTAACAGAAAACATTTTCTTTCTTCTTTTTCTTCTTTTGTTTGTTTTGTTGTTTGAGACAAGGTTTCTCTTTGTAGTTTGAGTCTGTCCTAGAACTTGCTCTGCAGACCAAGCTGGCCTTGAACTCACTGAGATCCCCCTGCCTCTGCCTCCTGAGTGCTGGGATTAAAGGCTTGCGCCACCACCTTCCAGCCAGAAAACATTTTCTGACGGGTTTGCCACAGTCTAGATAGAAGACTGGAGTAGAAGGAGGACTTGCGGAGGAAGCACAGCTGTGTGCAGAGGGGAGGGTCTGAAGGCACACATGTACACGAACACTTCAGGGCAGCAACATGACCAAAAGTCAGGCCTGGTGACACAGGCCTGGAATCCCGCTCACTCAAGAGGCTCATAAGTTCAAAGCCAGCCTATCCACAGAGTGAGTTCACGACTAGGCTGGGCAACCTCGTGAAGTATCTCAAAATAAGAGGCAGTGGTCAGCACTTGGGAGACAGAGGATCAGGAGGAGTTCAAGACCAGTCTCAGCTACATCCTGAGCTCCAGGCCAGCCTAGGCGACCTAATGAGGATAGAGCAGTGGTGGTGTCTGCCTCACACACGTGCTGCTCTGGGTTCAGGGCCCAGGACTGGGTATGTCTGTGCGATCAGAGCTGTACCTGCTCGTAAGGGCCGATCCAGCTGTCGGCGAGTTCTCGAAGGGTGCTATAGCGACGCTCGAATTCCTCCTGGCTACAGTGCTGCAAGAGCCGGCCTACCTCCTCTGTGAGGAGAGTCACGGCCAGGTGTTTATCCAGGGCGGCGCTCCACTTGCTTCCCAGGATGCTGTCTAGACTGGTGGCACAGCCTGAGGTCCACGGAGCCTGCAGCATGTCAGGCTGGAGCACCTGGTGGCGGGCACTGAGCATGGCTAGGATGTGGCGGCAGGGCAGGTGGAAGGCTTGGTTAAAGTAGCAGCTGCAGCTGGCCGGGGACTGGAGCTGCACGTTGTGCGTATCCTCCAGAATCTGTATGTTCACTTTTTCTGAGCCGGAGCCAATGAGGTGCATGGATTTCTGGACCACGGCGAGCTCACCTAGGCAGAGCTGGGCGGCTGGCCCTGTGCAGATGGCGTTGAGGGAGTGCTGGATACGGGCTTCCACCAACTGCTCTGAGCTGGGGCTTTCAGGGCTCATGCCTGCAGGCGCGGGATTGTCCTTGGGAGTCACAGTCAGGCTGAGGCTTGTGTTGTCCGAAGGGTTCTGCTGCATGTATCGGAACACAGAGGCCATGCCTTGTTTCTCAAATGGGGTAGTACCAAAAAACTGACTGAGGATGTGGGCTGTGACCTCCAGGCTCTGGAAGTATCGGTTGCTCTGGGCTCGGCTTCTCCAGCGGTGGGCCAGCCAGATGCGGTCATTGAGCAGCCAGTGTGAGTGGAGCTCAGGTAGCCTGGTGGAGGGGATGCAGTCGCTCAGGAGTGTGTGCAGCTTCCTCAGGTTGCCAGCTGTGGCCGAGCACATGGTGCTCTGCAGGGAGGAGAGAAGCACACTCTGTACTGGCTGCTCGAGGGAGAGCTGATAGAATTTACCCTGGAGGAACTTACAGATGTGGAAGGCTGAGAGCAAGACCTCAGCGGTGGGGAACTCCATGGTCAGGGTGGGCAGCAGGAGGAAGTGGGGATCCACCAGGATGGTGCAGACTCGTTCCCAGGCTGGGTTAAACTTTTTGAACACCTGGAACATCTGGGCCAGGCCTTTGGCATCTTCATTGGTAGGGATAGCAAAGTACACCACTCGGGCAAGAGGACCCTCAAGCTGTACCCGGGGTCCATCTACCAGGAAGGTGTATAACACCTTGCCTCTTGGGTTATAGGTCCGGTGTATAAATAAGACCTCGGGGAAATGAGCAAAGAGGTCTTGCATGAAGGAGCTTTGGTAGCTGAAGGCATCTAGCTGAGGAGTCTTGCTAACCTGGTGCAGCAGCGTGGGTGGGCTCGAGTCCTCAATAAGATGTCCGTTCATCATTGTCAGAGGCATGGAGGAGCAGGGAGGGATCCAAGGCCCACGCTAGAATGCTTCCTCTGCAGGACTGCCGTCAGGAAAACATTACATTTCTCAAGTGCCACGGAATTTGATGCCCAAAGTTAGACTGCAGCTTTAGATTCTGTTCCAGATGGACCTATGGAAAGGGAGAGACACTTAAAACAGTGAGGACCTGGCACTTCAATTATTTATATGGACAATAGTTCAATATCTATCAAACATTTACTATGTATCTTCTAGGGGCAGATACACAACTAGCCCATGAAGGTACATTGGATAATGGTTATAAAAACCACAAAAATGAGAAACAGGTCAGAGAGTATGTTGGGGTTGGCAGGACACATTAGCTAAAGTGGGAAGGCCTCTCTAGGGGAGGTTACCCTGGATATAAGATGTAAATAACAAGCCAGCCATAGAAACATAAGGTTCTCAGGGACCCAAATAGGCACAAAGCCAGGTGTAATGGTGCACACTTGTGATCTAAGCTACCTAAAAGGCGGAGGCAGAAGGATCACCAGGCCAAAGTCTGCTGGACCAGTGTAAGACCAGTGCAGGCAATTTAGGGAAGAGAGAACCTGTCTCAAAACACAAAACCCTAACAACACACACACACACACACACACACACACACACACACACACCCCTACAGACACCAAAACCCAAACCTAGCCCAAAGGACTGGGTGTGTAACACACTCCTGTAATCCCAGAGAGGTGGAGGCAGCCAGATCACCTCAAGGACATCTTGAACAATGAGGTCCTGGTCTTAAGAACTCTCAGGGCTGGGGGATATAGCACATTGGCAGTACAGGGGATGGAAAAAACAGGGCCTTTATTATTTTTCTACACAAGGACACTCTTGTGTAGGCCTGGCTTGCTCCCACCCCACAGCAATCCTCCCTTTTAAGCTTTCTAAGAGCTGAGATTCAAGTCTGTGTCGCCACATACGCTTCTTTTTAAAAATACCATTCTGGGTATTTGTACAGCCTTTATGTTCACAAATTCTTGTAAATTCTTAAAAACTGTTTCTTTTGGTCCAGAAAAAAAAAACGCTCAAAATTTTCTGTGAAATATTGGGCTAGTCAATGACCCTTTCTGAAACTGAATTCCTGTCGCTGTAAACCGGGGCTAACAGTTGTGTATAGCGTCTCCTGTTTTTTCTACGTATATCCCGGTTGGCTGCAATGCTTTATGCAAATGTTTCCTGTTTGGCTCCATTTACTGTCCCCATTCCGCAGATGAAAGTCTCAGTCAGGGTCAAAGCAGATGAGAGACTGAGGTTCAAAGCCGTAGGTCCACCATTAAGAGAACTGGAAGCTGGAGTCTTTGGCTCCAGATCCTGATGCATCCTATAGGGTCCGAAAATGTGGACCGGGAAGGGAAGGCGGCCTCTGACCTCACCTGAACCCGGGTGTGGGACGCGGAAGGCTGAGGTTCGCTTTCAAGCCCAGCAGAGCCGAAATCCACCTCCCACTGGTGGGAGCTGTATGCCCTGGACGCTGCAACCCGGCTCCACACCGCCCCTGCTGAGACCTCTCACCCACCGGCAGACAGCAGACACGGCAGCCATTTCTCCCACTGGGCCCACCTCCGACTGACTGACGGCCAGGATCGCCAATCACCACGCCAGTTTCTCAATGACTCAGGCCAAAGGCTTAAGGAGCTCGCTGTCGAACTTGGGAGCTACGGACCAATCCTGGACTGGCAACTCCGGGGCGGGCGCTGTTGCCAGGGTTACAGGGGCTCGGCCGGAGGTAACCAATGAGAGCCTGCGAAAGGATGCTCGCGTTGGGAACCCGTGGCCCGAGGGCGGAGCCTCCCTTCGGTCAAACAGGGCTGGGAAGTTTGCACCTTTCGAAGACCATAATGGAAAATAAAGAAGTGTTTTATATGGGAACCTTTTGTTTGTTGGGTACGGAGCTGTGAAGTTCGGAAGGGACAGACGGGAAAGGTGCAAAGGTCGTACTTCGTCCTCTGCCTTGTGGAGAAACTGAGGCCTGTAATTCCAGCTATTCAGGGGCTGAGGTAGAGGGATAGTTTGAAGCTAGCATAAGTCTTAAAACAAAAAACTGGGTGT